TGCGTGCGCGCGTGCGCGTGCGCGCGCGAGGGTCGCAGCGACAGCGGGCAACACCAAATCCAGGCCCCGGGCGGCAAGAGCACTGGAGCCCTGTTGATCAACATGTTGCACGTGTGAAACTAACAAGGCACAGCGTGATGATGGCCATTCTCGTCAATGAAGGCCACATGAGACTCTCGCTATCATCATCAGCAGCAGCAGCAGCGGCAGCATATCATCCTTCTCAGCATCACCAATGTGACCGTTGCGGTCACCTGGGACGTCCTCTGAAGGATGCAGGAAAAACTCATGCTAGAAGGCAGAGGGCATATAAGTCGGCACGAGAGCGACAGATGAAATCCGAGGCTTGAGCCTTTAAAACAACCCAAGGTCCAAGAGTCCCAAAAAAAAAGCATCGCAGGATTTTGATCCTGAACCCCAAACCCCAAGCCCTAAACCCTATGGCCTGGATCTCTCTCCTTCGGGAGCTCGCCGGCGGAGGCCCGGCCCAGCTTCGCCAGGGCCCGGGGCCCCCGGGGCCCAGGGCAGGGGCCCCAAAACATGGGGCGGCCTGGGGCCAGTGAGGCAAAGCTGTAAGGGTTTACGGTCTTGGGGTTTAGGGTTGAAAGGAGTTTTGGGTTTAGGGCTTGCAGGGTTTAGGGTTTGGGGCTTAGGGTTTAGGGTTTAGGGGGGACTGAAAGAAGCGGCGCAAAGAAAAAGGAGAGATCTCTGCATGGCCACGGCCTGGCCTTCATCGGGAAGGGCGCCGTCAGAGCCATCGCAGATGCAGTCGCTGCTCTCGGGAAGCGTGCTCTTGGGTTTGGATGTCATGCCTGTCTTGCATCTGCATGCCTGTGCTGCCTGGTTTCAGTGTATTCATTCCACGGCTGCGGTCCACGTCCTCGTGTCTAGGCAAGGGGAGAGCCAGAATGCGACGCTTCAAGAGATAGGCTTGGCAGGCGTTGCAGACACGCCAGGGTGACCGAGGAGAGCCGCGCTGAACCTGCCAAAGATGCAGCTGAACCCGAAGCCTAAGTTCTGAGCTCTGCTTTGCTGAGGCTCCCGCGAGATCGCCCCCACCAGACCCCGGCGAGCCGCCTTCCACCCACAGCGACTAAAGTCTAAAGCTTCGTGTCCGGTCCCTTGCGCTCTGAACCTCGGAGTGGAGCCGAGACCGCGGAGATCCTCCGGGCAGCCCAGGGCTCTGAGAGCCCGAAGCCGGCCACGTGGCACCCGAAGGCCTTGGCCTCTGCGCTTCCGAGCGGGTTCGCTATACGGGCTCTGCGCGATTCTGGGAGCCTCTGCGTCTGGCTGGGAGATGCGGGGAAGGGATCCATGGCCAAGGAGCCATGAAAAAACAAGAACCACGATACTCACAGGGTCGATCCTCAGCTGTCTAGATGCTTCCGTGAATGGGCTACGCAGCGATGTTGGAACTTCGGCATCAAGCAACTCCGTGCCGAATGAATAATAAAGGCGTGCTTGGAGGGGCTACAGTAAGCGGTTGCCATCTCTCTCCATCTCTGTTGTGCAGGTTGCTATAGTTTCTACAGATTGCCCAAACGTTTTTGCCGCTCCCGCTAAAATTTAGCGGGGCTGAGTATCCAAGCTTGTGTTCGCATCTGTGGGCCCTCGCGCTCGCTGGCAGATCAATGGTGTACTCTCACAGCAACATCCCCTGCTCTAGACGTGGGACATGAAAGAGAAGCCTCGAAATTGGACGGGGTCTCCATGGAGTTTCGTCAATGAGCTCTGATCTCTTGGACTGTACAGATGGGCACGCGCCCCAAAAGGGCGTGCAGCCGCCAAAACTGTCGGACACCGCGCTCCGAAGGAGATCTCGCCTTGTCGGGTGTCGTCGCGACAGTCACCGAGCCGTAGCAACTACAAAAGAGCCGTACGGGTGTAGGGTTTAGCGTTTACGGTTCAGGGTTTAGGATTTAGGGTCCATAAGAGGCTAGAGTGTGCAACAGTATAAGAAAAACAGCGATGGCCATGATATGGCCGAAAGACAGGCGCTGGCTCCTCCCCCGGAGAGCGTTCAAACCTTCGTCCCAAGCTCAAAAGGCACATTGAAATATATATTCTATCCTTGTTTAAACACAGAGGAGGCCCCCCCTGGGCCTCGGAAGCCTTCGATCTTTTATCGAAGCCTTTGTTGAGACCGTTGCAAGGCTTTTGCTGCGTGTCTCAATGTGTCAGAGCGTTTCAAAGCACCCCCTTGGCTCGGCCAACTTCGACGAAAGCATCGATGCAGCGCTGCACCTGTTCCGGCCTCGGCGCAGCTCACCACTCCGGGTCTTCGGGGGCAAAGTTGGGATAAGACTGGGCGCGTGGCGTGTGGGCCGCACTCATCTGCACCCGGATGCGCGCGGCACCCTTCGGCACCACCGGGTAGCTAAAGCCGATGACCTTCGAAGACCGCTCAGCTCAGAGCTGGGGCTTCGAACTCCAAGGTCACCCGAGTGCTCGGCATAGATGCCTCTCTTCAGCATCTCATCGGCCATCTCCGAGGCGAGCCGGGCATCCCCCAGCATGACAGGAACGATCGGGCAACTCCTGCAAGTGGATGTCGAGAGCTGGGCTGCACGCAAGAAAGGGGCCCGTTCGACGTGGGCAGCCAGGCCAGCTAGGCTCGGGGCTCGTGGCCGCTCAGCTTGAATCCGGCGGCTCGCATCGACGAGCGGAACTGCTTAACATTGGCCTGGGGTCGGCATGCAGAGGGCAACTGCAACAACTACGTCTCAAGAAGGCAAGCCTGCACAGCGAAAGAGAAAAATGAACAAAGACCTTGGCAAGCATGACCTGACGCCCTAGCACATGCGACACAAGCTCCCGAACTCAACAAATCTATCCAACAGCAGGGCTCCCCAAGGGGCGTGAAAGTGTTGCTTCCTCTTGCAGTTCTTGCGCTGCTTGTTGGGACCCATCAAGAGCTCCGTGGAAGACGGGCAAGCCGCTTGAACCCCAGACGAAACCATCCTTGAAACCGGCGAACACCCCTCGTCGTGTGAGGATTTGTCCAAGAACTCTCGGCACCTCCCCCCCCGGNNCCCCCCCCCCCCCCCCCCCCGCAGTTCTTGGCCTCAAGTCGGCCACGCAGCTCTTTGCTGTTCGACTCGTCGGAGAGCATCTTGAAGACCTTCCAAGGGGGGAAGTCCTTGTTTTTTGTTGCTTCCGCCCAAAGGATGAGAGCCTCTAGTTGCGGCTGAGAGTCGGAAGGCCCTACAGTGCCCTACATGTCTACACTCTATACGCTACTGTAGGTCATGAGGACATCCGGGCCAGCAGCCCCCTACCACCCCCGTTGCGGCCGTGACCTTCCTTCCCTCACGGCGAGCCTGTAGTGATGCTCCGGCCACCTCAGGGATCGGAAAGTTTCCCGATGGCCTGAAGGCCAAGGTCACGTTGCGATGGCAACAAGGTGGCGACCGAGGGGGCCAGCGTGTTGGAGAAGAGATACGGCCTGCGCTGACACGCTGACACCCCTCCCAGTGCTCCCCATTTCTGGTGGGTTTCGAGGCATGGCCTGGCTCTGTTGCGCAGGAGGTCAATCAAGGCCTGGCCGTGTTGTGAAAACTCTGCTCACTCTGCTCCTCCCTGCTTCGCTTCGCGCGGAGGCCTTCGGTCCCGTCGTGTAGCCGCCCGTGGCGCCGCCCAGGGCTTTTCCGAGGGTGCTGTTGATGATGTCCACGCGATCTCAGCACAGGGGAAATGACGGCTAAGGCGGCTACGAAGGGTGGGAGAGGGTCAGAAAAGTCAGAGACCATTCCAGGCTCCCAGTCCCTGGCCGGCCACTCCGCACAGCTCCGGCGTACCCCGCCCCGAGCTGCCTGGGCTTCCGCATGGGCACGCATGGGGGTGTCCTTCCAGTGCGACTTCGAGGCTTTGGCCGAGGAAGCCCGTGGCATGGCACTCGTCCACGAAGACCTGGGCCTCGTACTTGTCTGCGAGGTCGCAGATCTCGCCTGAGCTTGAAATCCATGTTCTATCGGACCCTCCCCCCTCCGACCTCGTAAACCCCAGATCGGAAGGCGTCGGGGCGTGTGCGCAAGGGGGCGATGTCCCCGTCCATGGAAAAGACCTTGCACCCATCAGTCGTCTTTCCAACGACTGACCAACAAGAATAAGCTTGAATTGCTCTCACATGGGATTTGATGGAAAAACCGCCCCGAATCCGACGCATCGCTACGATCTGCGGAGCTTAAGAATCTGCAAAACAGGACAGCTCCCACGCAGCATCCCAGAAATATCGGAGGGGTAGGCGGGCAGAGCGGTAGCGATTGCCCTGAGGCCAGAACCCCATCCGTCACAATCATCCGCTGCCGCGTGCCCTTCGCGACGCACTCCTTGAGAATCTCCTGTGCGGAAACCGCCCTCCGACATGTGTCTGGGAAGCCAGTTTGTTGGATTATAAGCTGGGATTCCTCAATACGGAACATGGATGCAAGGAAAAACCACGTGTGGGAGAGAAACCTTGCACCGGGCAGGGAAGAACGCTTCTGGCTCCCCTCCCAAACGCCCAACTTCTACCAAGCCCTCAAGGCGAAGCCCTGTGGGCCCTTTCAGGGGGGCTATACGCTGGTTGTCACTGGTACAGGTCTTCGACCTCGAGATGCGCCGTGTCCAAGTGATTGTACCTGAACTTCGCAAGTGCCCGGCCCATCTCAGAAGCGACGTCTGCTCGGAACAGCTCTGGGACACCCACCGATGTCGCTGGGCCTTGAACTCCATGGAGTTTAGGGGCTTAGGACGTTTAGGAAGCACTTTGTCGGACTGGGCCTTGCAGAGCCGGATTCCATCGATGATGGACGCATGGTTCAGCCTGGCGAGGCACAAGGAGGCCCCAAACAAGGGACACCTCGCCGTCAGCCAGGGCTACGCATCGGAGATCACAGCATCCTCCGGGCCCAGGCAAGCCTGGCAGCAGATCAAAGCCCAGGTCTTCGGAGCTTCGGGCCTTAAACTGCGCCCGGCGCCTCGAAGAGACCCGCGTTGGCATCGAAGCAGGAGGGGAAGAGGATGGTGTCCTCCGTGCCGTGGAACTTGCTGATGGCCGCCTCAAGCTCTTTGTGTAAATCCTGCACAAGGCAACGGCACAGCAAAGCTTCTCATAAACTGCTCTCCGTCCTGCGTACCGCAGATGAAGCGAACCGAGGACAACCCGAAGCCGTGCGAAGACATGGTGCTCTGTGCCGCCTCCAGGGCAAAGCCAAACGAGCTGCGAGCTTTCATCTGCAGGGTAGTTTCGCCTACGTATCATCTAGGGAAGGCTGCCGACCTGCACCAAAGACGGATGGCTTGAAAGGCCCAGGTAGTTGTTGGCGCAGAAGTTGAGGACAGGTTCAGACCTGGCTGTCGCATGGAACAAGGCCTCGGGCATCGCCGGCGGTCTTAAGGGGCATCTAGGAGTCTGGCCTCCTATCGCCGCTGAGGCCCTGGCCCGCCCGCGACGTTCACGGCACCCGCCTGGGGTCCCTGGATCACCCGCTCCACCTGCGAAAGGACTCGAAATTTGAAGGGAATTCGCATGCGATGCCATGCGCCGGCGACATTCTGCCTTGTAGGTACCCGCTTCTCGCATCGTCTGCAACTCCTGATGGACTCTGGCTCATGATTACACTGATTACACTCCTCTTTTGACTCTTCGCTTTCCGAGCTCGGCCTCTTCCAGGCGCGACAGAAACCCGGCATTGCGGCCTGCACCAGGCAGTCTACGGCCTACGGCGCTGCATGAGGCTTTGCCGACGGGAACTAGCCGCCCAGCCAGTTTCTCCCGGTGCTCTGACTAACGTTGGTGTAGGAAGGGAGCGAGAAAAGAGAGACTGTGTCACACCCGTCCTGCGTGCGTTGCAGACGGAAGGCGTGGAAGAGAGGAAGAGAACAACAAGAAGAGTTTAGCTGTTTTCGGGGCCTGCATGCTACCTGCGATCCCCGGGCACCAATGACACTGCTTGTGCCGTTCACGGGGCACGAATGATCCTCGTGCTGCCGGATTCTTGTTGCGTCTCCACGAAAGCAACTTCGGCCCCACGAGCGCCATGCAAGCTCGCCCAAACTTGCGTTTTTCGGGCCTTAACCACACACGCACATATACATGTACGTACACGTCATGTACATGTTACAGGCATTTGACAGGAACTGGAGGCTACCGTTTCCCTCTCTGTTGCTATACATGTACAGCTATACGTACCCCTTGCCTGCTGCCGTCGTCACACACCGGGCGACCCGGGAAATCGGCATCGACAACCTCCATGATGTCATCATGCCATCTCGTTTTGGGAAGCTTTCGGTTTATGGTGAACCTCTCTGAAACAGCTTCATGATGTAATATCGTAGGACGATACACGAGTAGTTTAGTACACAACATGCTATAACATCCCCTGACATACAGACATGTTGCCGCCTCAACGCCCGCGCGGCACTCGCCATGGCTAAGGTCGACATCGTGAAGCTCACGTGAGGAACCGGATGCGGCAGGGGGCACCAACCCTGCGGGCGCTAGACGGCCTTAGTCTTGCTACCGTGTTGGTATGCTCACGATTTTTGCAGGGTTATCCGGGCATGATTGCAAATGCTGCACTCCCATAGCCGGCCAAGTTTGAAGCTGCAGAGAATTGTGGACGTAGGGTCGAGGGGCTTAAGCGCCCCCCCCCCCACTGTAGGGGGGCGGCCCAAGCCTTGAGTTTAGAGTTTAGGGTTTAGGGTTTAGAGTTTAGGGTTTAAGGTTTAGGGTTTAGGGTTTAGGGTTTAGGCTTTGGGGTTTAGGGGGGAGCGTTCCCTGGAGGTGCTTGGGAACTTTTACCAGATCTGGGCGTGCCAGGAGGGATCCGGGAACATGCCGGAGCCGGACTACAAGACCCGGCACGAGTTCACGGGAAGCGGCCTGGAGCCGAGGGAGCTGGAGGCTCTCGTTGCAACTTTGCCGCTGCTTTTGGAAGAGGAGGACTCTCTGGTTCTTAGTAGGGAATGGGGGAATGGATCCCTATGATAGTTTATTAAGGTCCCGTGTAGTAGTCCCTATAACCCATTCCCCCATTCCCTACTAAGAACCAGACAGAGGATGAGGGCTTGGTGGCCGTGGCGAAGCCTTCGGGCATCTCCTCAGAGAAGGCCTTGGAGGCGATGGCCGCGTCCCTGTCGAAGCCGCTCTTCGCCGTGTCTCGTCTGGACCTCCCCACCTCGGGGGTTTTGCCCGCGGCCTTGGGCACCGAGCAGAGCCCGGAAGCCCGCTGGCACCTGGCCCAGTTCGCGGCCCACTCCTTGGTGGAGAAGACCTACCTCTGCCTCTGCCAGGGCACCGAGGGCTCCCTCGGTGAGGTGGGAGCAGAAGGGCGCGTGGAGCTGCCGCTGAAGGTCGTGGCCACGAGTCGGAGCACCAGCCGGGCCGTGCCATCAGCGGAAGGCAAGAGGGCCCGGACGGACTTCCAGGTCCTGGCGGTCTTCGCCGAGGATGGGAGCTCAGCCCATTGCCATGCATGTCAGCGAGTGTCGAGGCTGTGCCCTTGTTCCGAAAGCTCTTTTGGGGAATATTTGCCGTTTGACTCGGGAACTCCTCCACTAAGGCTACGTCGCAGCTGTCTTTGATTGAGGCGCGACCTCGCACAGGCAAGGGGGTTACGAGAGACCAGGTGTCATCTTGAGGTTACAGAATAAAAGAGTCAAAGTCATAAAGGAAGGTCTGGGGCTTACAGTAGGAGTCCAGACAGAGTTTAGGGTGGAGGTCTAGGTTTGTTTTCTGCGTGCCTTTGCATGCAGAGAGCTCGTTCGCTGCATCCGCTGAAAAGAGTTATGCGTGACCCCGGCACCGAAAGCAATTCACAGCAGGGTGTGGCCAAATGCCTCTTCTTTGCCCTTCGGCTCTGCAATAGGGCCTTGGGGTTCAGTTTTTTTGGTTTTAGGGTTTAAGGTTCAGGGTTTGGGGTTTAGGGTTGAGGGTTTAGGGGTTTAGGGATTAGGGTGTAGGGTTCAGGAATCTCAGCGGCAACAACAACGAAACAGTAAGGACAGCGCCGACAGTACTGGTAGCAACAACATTGTACTGACAATTAACGTCTCATGTTCCGTTCAGTGGCAGAGAAAGTAGTGACAGTACACAGTAGTACTGGGTAATGACACTAAGAAGCAGAAGCATCACGTAGGACATCGCAGTCTGCAAGTTGAGAGAACTTGATGCCGGTAAATGCAAGTAAGTAGCGGAAAGCGGAAGAGAGGCTTATATTAAGCAAGCGAATACGCAAGTACATCAGCAGATTTATGCTGGAAGTACGATGGTTCCTGTAGTTCTTGAATTCCCAACTCGAAGCTAGTGGACATCAGCTCCAAACAGGAGCTGCCGAGATCGCACTTCCCTTTCAGCCGGAGAGAGTCTGAAACAAATGTGCAACCGTTAGTCGTGTCTGCCTTTCCGAGCTTTTCATCTGCGCAGCCCTAAAAAACCCTGAGCCCTAAACCCCTAAACCCCCTAAACCCCTAAACCCCTAAAACCCCTAAAACCCCTGAACCCCTCACTAGACTCCTAACACCCCTGGAACCCCTAGAACCCCTGGAGCCCCCTAACACCCCCTAACACCCCCCAAAGCCCCGTAAAAACCCTGGAGGCCGACTGCACCAGATACGAGCCCATCTGGCCGCTCTGGGCGCCCCCTTGGTGACCGTGGCTGCAAGGAGACTCGAGATCCCTAAGCCCTAAACCCCTAAAGCCCGGAAACCCCTAAAGCCCTAAACCCCTAAACCCCTAAACCCCTGAAGCCTCTAAACCCCTAAGCCCCTAAACCCCTAAACCCCCTATTCAAACCCTAGACTGTCTACATAAACCCTAAAGCCCTAAACCCCTTACGGCCTAAAGCCCCAACACCCGTTGCGTTTGGGGTTTCATGGGCTTGGGGTTCTTTAAGGTGGGCTTCTTTTTGAGCTTTGGCAAGGTGTTTTCGTAATCCAAGTGTTCCTTCTTTTAGTGAAGGTGGATTCTTATCGGGGGTTCTCGGGTTTGGAGTCAGTTCCAGTGTCGTAACCTGACATTAAGAACCAGCTTATAGTTAATAATACTAAAAATTAGTAGAAAATAATATATATGTATAAAAGAATATATGCTATATCACTCACAAGATTGGATGAGACTCACCGCACATCTGGCAACAGCTGACGCGTTGCCGAGGTCGGGGATCACCTCTACGGAGCCCAAAGGTCGGATCAGTCGGATCTGTTTCTAAAAGTGTAGGGTTTAGGGTTTTAACCCTAAACCCTAAACCCTAAACTGTAAGGGTTTAGGGGCCAGGGGTTAACCCTAAACCCTAAACCCTAAAACCCTAAACTCTAAACTCTAAGCCCTAAACCGTTAGGGTTTCGGGGTAGGGTTTCGGGCTCTTATTTTGGGGTTTAAAAGGACCTTGGGAGGTTTGGAGTCGAATCTCTATGGCCTTGGGGCGTGTAAGGTCTTAGGGCCTCTTAGGGTGGGCTTAGGGTTTAGGGGTTTAGGGGTTTAGGAGTTTAGGGTTTCGGGTTTGGGGTTAGGGTGTAGGGTTTAGGGGTTTAGGGGTTTAGGGGTTTAGGGGTTTAGGGGCTTAGGGGTTAGTGTTTAGGGTTGGGATGACGGGTTTGGGGATGAGGATAGGTGTTTTCTTCGGGAGTGTCTGGCCCCCTTCGCATGGAAAAGCAACTCCGGACGAGCTCAGACCCATCCCCTAGGAGCACCATCCGTTGAACCATGCGTCAACCCCAAGCCCCACTCCGAAGCCAAGAGTTCAAGGCCTGCGGTTTATCGCCGTTCAATCTGCAAGCTTCCCTGCAACTTGCTGTCCTCACCCCTCAGCCCAAGCCCTCACCACCAAGCAAATTCAATAAAGCTGCAGGCTCGAATCCACCTTGCCTTGCGGGCGTGTTCCCATCCACGTGCCCAAAAGTCTATACCCTAAAAACCGGTGAACTTTCAATCCCAAACCTTCTGCCACGAGCCAGAAGCCTCAAACTTTACAACCGAAGCTGCGAAGCACATCCGCATGCAGCATATATTTGTGGCATGTTTCAGTATATTATGGCAGGCCATGGTATGTTTTTAGTAGATTAAAGCACCCCAAACCCTAAACCCTAAACATAAACCCTAAACCCGAAACCCCAAACCCTAAAGCCTAAACCCTAAAGTGTGTGCAGGGTTTCCTGGTGCCGCCGGCTGTTCCTTCATTGCCAACGGCTGAAACTCTTCGGGCCGTCTCGCGAGGTCGTTCGAGTGTCGGTTGTTTGGGGTTCGGGTATATTTTTAATATGTGTACATTTATACATATAGGTGTAACTCTCTCCCTCTCTCTCTCTATATATGTCTATATATATATATACATGTATATGTATATGTCTATATCTATATCTATAACTATGCCTATATCTATATATATATATCTATATATCTATATATGTAATGTAAATTAATAAATATATAAATACATAAACAAACAATAACTAAATGACTAAACAAATTAACAAATAGACAAATTGATAAATACGTGTGTGTGTGTATATATATATATACATACATATGCACATATACATACACATACATCTATATATATATATATTCTTATTTTTTTATTGTTGTTGTTATTACCATTATTGTTATTATGTATAAAATATTTCGGGCGCAGGGTCTGGGACTTGCAGCTGTGGGGTTTTGGTGTCTAGGGTTTTGGGGTTCAGGTTGTTTGAGGTTTGGGCTTTGGGGAGTCTGGGGCCCGGGGTTTAAGGGTTGCGCAGATTTAGGGGTTTAGGGTATGGGCTTTGACACACGACGCAAACATTCCCTCAACCTCTAATACGCCGCTGGGCTCCTCAAAAACCGTGAGAGCATACATCATCGACCCAATCACCCCTAAATCAGTGGTTCACCCTAACCCTTAAACCCGAAACCTAAACCGTGGCAAATCCTGAGACCCCTAAACCCAAACACCGCCAAGAAGCCGTCAGACCCGCCAAGTTCCAATGCCCTCAACCCCAAACAGCTCGAACACTCAACCCCCTTGAACCTTAAACCCTAAACCCGAAACCCTAAACCCGAAGCCACTTCGTAGACGCTATGAGCCGAAGCCACTCTGGCGGGGTTTTTGGGTTTTGGGGTTATGGGGTTTTAGGGTTTTAGGGCTTAGGGTTTTAGGTTTTCGGGATTCAGGGTTCAGGGTTCAGGGTTTTTGGGGCTTTGTTTGGGGGGTTTATGTAAGGCCTAGGTCCTCTCTCTGATTCTTAGTAGGGAATGGGGGGGTGGGTTCTAGGGGACTTTAAGGGACTATCATAGGGATCCATTCCCCCATTCCCTACTATAAGAACCAGGGAGTCCTATTTTGAGGGTTGCTGAGGGCTCTTGGCGCTTGGGACCTCGGGCCCCGAGGGCTTCGGGGGTGAGGGGCTAAGTCGAGGACATTTTCAGGTGGGTAGTTACCCTTATAGGAGCCTTATAGAAGGTCTAGATACCTTATAGAAGCCTTATGGAAGCCCTAGAAACCCTAAACTCCCCACCTGTAGTTTCCGTCATTTTCAGCAATCTTTCACCCAGAGAACCCAATACCCCTTAACTAAGGAATACACCTTAAATCACAATCATACGCCCCCCTATAATTTAAGGGCATATTCCAGAATTAAGGTAAGCCCTAAGCCCTAAACCCCTAGACCCCTAAACCCCCAAATCAGCAATCTTTCAAGCAGGTGCGCCTCGAGGCGCCCCTGCCAGCGGAGCTGAGGGAGGCTCTCCTGGGCCTTCGGCTTCTCAGGGGCCGCTTTCCGAGCTGAAGGCCTCGCGAGCCCGTGGCTTTAAGGCTGGGGTTGGGGGGTGTATTTGGGGGGTTAAGGGGTTTAGGGTTAGGGGTTTGGAGGTTTAGGGGGTTTGGGGGTTTAGGGTTTGGGGGTTAAGGGGTTTAGAGGTTTAGGGTTTGGGGGTTTAGGGTTTAGGGGTTTAGAGGTGTAGGTTTGAAAAAATGTTAGGGTTCAAGGGTTCTGGAAGGGGGCTTTACTAGGGCTTTGGCAGGGTTAGAAGTCACAAGGGTTCTCTATTCGGGTTCAGGGCTGAAGGTCTACGGTTTCATTTCAAGGTTTGGGTGCAGGGGTTTCGGGTTTCGTGGGTTTTTTTGGATTCAGGGACTCATGGTTCAAATTTTAGGGTTGAGGGCTTCGGGCCTCACCGTAATCATGCTACAACATTCGTATAATGATACTACAACACTACTGCGAGATTACAGTAATCTGCAATGTAAGAATATTACCACGATGTTACTTACCATCATAATACTACGACATTTCTATGAGACTGCTACAGCAAACCACGCAGGGCACGTCCACCCCCGAGAAGGAGATCGGACCGCTGTTCGACGCGATGCAACTCAAAGAGCGCTCAACATGAGGCCCTGCTCACGTAGACGCTGACTAGCTGGGACCCCAAGAGTATGTAGAGACTTAGAGAACTACCGAAATGCGAGCCTTATCGTACCCTTCTTGTAGATCCCTGCAAATAATAGCCTTTTGTGGTGTTTTGGCATTATTTTACCTACTTTTGGGGGTTGAGGTCGAAATTCTAAGATCAACAGAAACATGAGAGGTTTTCGCCAGTGACAAGCAAGACTGAGAAGAGTGACATGAGCAATGGTGAGGGTAAGAAAATACAAAAACATATAAATTGAGCGACTTGAGCGACAGACACTCATGCCAGACGCGGAAGCATTTCTGTTACGACCACCACAACGACCACCTACTTATGCTGCGACTACTGCTTCTGCTGCTGCTGGTACTGCTGCTGCAGCTCTGATGATGAGCTCTATACCCTAAACCCTAAACCCTAAACTCTAAAATATACATCCACTTCAGGTGGGGGACATCATCAGCAGTCGAGTGTCGGAGCTATCAACGACAGAAGGAGTGGTGATCGTCGCAGTGACAATATGTGTATTTTGCCGTTTTTCGGTGTGGACATTGTGGGTAGGGCTTTGGAGGTTAAACCATGAACCCCAAGGCCTACATTCTCTTCGATTGTTATATTCTGATACCATTGTATTATTGCAGTCTTCCATCCTTCCATTATTGTAGTGTTCCATTATTCTACTTTGTTCTATCGTTCTGTGGCTCTATTGGTGGGACAAGCCTTCAAAGCGTGAGCAGGTCTTTGGCCGACAATCTGCAACAAGTTCCAGCACACTCTTCCCTTCTTCAGCTGGCGACCCCGAGGCAGCGGAAGACATCCCTAAGCCTTAAACCCTAAGCCCTAAATCCTAAACCCTAAACCCTACAGGGCTTGAAAACACTGGGGCCGGCAGGGGGTCTTGCCTTCAAGGTATGGCGGAGATATTCTGATGCTGTGATTTGTGCATTCCTTTCTGTGTTGACTAGGCGACATGTATGACTGCGTTTCATATGAAACTCGCGTTACAAGCATGCCCACCCATGATATTTACACGCGTGCATCTTTAAGGTGAAACCCGCGACTGTACATGCCGAGGAGGCACTCTCCTCATCCCGGCACTTCAAACAGTTGACTCGGCAATTTGTTCAAGCTCAAACCCATAAACTCTAGGGATAATAATACATAAACAAACAAGCGCCCAGCAGAGCCCTTTCTGAAACTCGATACCCCCCTTACCCTACACCCTACAACCTCCGAAAACCGAAGAACCATAAAGCCCTCAAGCAAATCCGCGACACTCGAGCTTAAGCCATGAATCCGTAAAGTCGACTACCCTAAACCCTAAACCCTAAGCCCTAAACCCTAAGCCCTAAACCCTAAACCCTAAACCCTAAGCCCTAAACCCTAAACCCTAAACCCTAAACCCTACACCACTTAAGTTGCCTTGAGCCTCACGCGAGGCTGCTTAGGCGGCCGGTTCGGGAGTGCGGGTCATCTTCCGAGACAGACGAGATCGGCAAGGTCTGATGCCGAAGCTTTGGTTTAGGGTTTGGGGTTTAGGGTTTAGGGTTCAGGACCCATCACCCTGAACTAAGTCTGCAGTAAACCCTGAGTCCGGACCCATGTTTGGATCTTTTGATCGCGGCTCATGTCTAGGGTTGTCGACTCTTGTAAGAGATGCCGTTCCGAATAGTAATTCTGAAGGAGCGAGAGAGACATAAGGTTTGTGTGTGTGTGTGTGCGTAGATTGTTGTTTGCAGTAGCATGGTTGCAGCATGAAGGGTTCTTACTGCCAGTGTCCGCAGCAAGAGATTACAGTTGCTGGCAGTGTTGCCATGGTTGCCATCTAGATTTGTTGTTGTTCTTGCTTGTGGAAAACAGCAAAACTCGCTTTATAGTATAGTGCTGTTCACGCTCTCCATTTTGGAGCACCCATACTATGAGCATCCAACAGCAAACGCTCCCGGTAAGTTTGTATATCTGTCGATATATATATATATAAGATATACACACAAACATATATATATATAGAGATAGAGAGAGAGACAGAGATAGAGCATATTGTATACATATGTGGATATGCATATCAACATGCTTCCATGCTACATGAGTGCTGTGTTCGTCCTCGTTCTCGCCCTCGTACCTTGTAGTGTGCACCTATGCTCTGGACCTCAGAGGCAAGTAAACTTGGGATCCACCACACGATCGTTCAGTGTCTTCAGTGCGCGCGGCCCGGGCACCACCGCTTCGACTCCTCCAGCGGTCTTATTGAAGGCGTGCATCCACCAAGATGTTCGAAAACTCTTCGGAAACTGTCAGTGTTGTCTTCGGAAACTGTCAGTGCTGTCGGGTCCGGTATGTTACATGTCTGCTTAACTGCTCCCATTCTGACCTGCTCGCATGTCAACCCTTGCTAAAGCACACGGGAGCTTAGGCTGGAGACGACATGGCAAAGCCCTTTGTGAAACCCTCTGGCCCTTAAGCCTCAGCAATAAACCCGAAGCACCACACCCTAAACTCAGAATCGGAAAGTACAAGGAGGTCCCCAAAGCTTCTTCAAAGATCGATTTCAACCACCCTCAGCCCAGCGCCGCAAGCTTTGGGAAACTTCCAAAAGGAACCGTTGATAAGGACTTTAAAAGGAACCTTACAGGCACCCTTGACAGGGCCTTTTTGCGCTCCAATTTTCTCAGTTCTCGAAAGGAAAATGGCAAGTCTTGTGGCCGCAGTGCGTCTGCTTGGACTAAACCGGACAGTGCGCTCGCTTGCTTTTTTTTTTCCATGGCTATGACGTTCCAGTTTATTCAGTACGGTCTGTGTGTTATTCTTGTCGTATCCAAGTATCCAAGATCTCATTTTTCGTACAGAAAGGTACGATTGCACTCGATTCGACTTTTCTTTGACGTTTGAATCGGCCCCAGCACCTTTTGGAAGGGCTAACCTTTCAGGATGGGGTTTAGAGTTTAGGGTTTAGGGCTTGGTTTGAATTAACAGCAAACTGTACCACCTAGATCATGCGTTTTGGTGAGGCCTTTACAAGGTTCCCAGTCTCTGTTCCAGTAAGCTCAGTATCGTTCTGCAAAGGAACGAACCCGGCAGCCACACTATCTATCCTTCCCTGAGGATTGCCTTCGTTTTGAGTGCTTTTAACCAGAAACTCGTAGAAAAGGTTCATTGTCTCAGTTGTGCAGAGCTTGACCCGAGGCCGGCGTCGAGTTGTCAGAGAGAGAGAGGCCATTGAGGTGGCTCAGGGTGTAGGGTTTGGGGTTTAGGGTTTAGGGGTTTAGGGGTTTAGGGGTTTAGGGGTTTAGGGTTTAGGGTTTAGGGTTTGCGGCTTAGGGCGGGCTTGCGGTTTAGGGTTTAGGGTGTGCAAGGTGGTTTGATTCTTCAGAGCCTGTGAGGAAATTGCCCACACCTTGGTAGAACGCTCGCAGGGCCTTTAGGGGAAGAAACTGGGTTTCCGGGGGTTCAGGTTGTAGGGGCTTGCAGGGAACAGAGGGTAATCATGGGTTTGTATCGGACTGTTGGGGTGTGGCCCGGAGCCTAGAGGTTTTGCAGTGTATTGATATGGGTAGTTCTCCAAATTAGGGTCCCCTTTAGGGTCCCTTTTTTTTTGGGTGCCGTACTATATTGCCGACTTAAAAAGGGACCCCAGTTTAGAGAACTACCCATATGGGCTATGCAGAGTTTAGGATCTGGCTTGTGAGGGTTTAGGGCTTTGGGGCTTAAGGGTTTGGGGTTTGGATTAGTGTTACTTATATGCAGTGCATATAGTATTGGTTTGTATATGTGCATGTCCAGTTAAGAAGCCCGTCGTGTTTTGAGCAACACCAAGGAGAGCCGACTGCTGTCAAGAAGCATAGAGCTAGCGCAATCCTAAAGATCGTTTCCAAATAGACAGTCAGCAAATAAGCGCAAATTTAGGTCTTAACCGCCAGAGAGTGTAGAAATATTCCGGATTCTTCTTGTTTATGCGCCCTGAACCCTGAGCCCTAAACCCTGAACCCTAACCCCTAAACCCTGAACGCTGGGCCATCTTGGACCTTGTGGCTGCCAGCCGGAACATCCACAACGACTGTACTTTCCAATTTCCTATCCGTGGAAAGGCTTTCCTTCTTCGTGCTCGTATGGCTGCTTTATCGCGGCTATGTCTTCAAGTCCTGGACCAAACGGGTGTGGAATCCGCAACTGGCAATCAAAGTAAGACTTTGCTATTTGTACAGTACATGCTAGTTAGCTGAAACATAGTTTCAGCATGCTCCGTGTGCGGGCATGGCAGATGATGTTGTGCATTTGCAGAGGCCGTGGCAGGTCACCTCCGCGACATCATGAAGCAAGCCCAAAAGCGTCCTGCGTTTCAGGAGATTTGAGAGTTGTTTTCGGGTATTTAGGCTTCAGAAAGGCGTCTGTGCGAGCGGAAATTCTTCGAGCAGTTCAGGCACCTGCTTTTGAAATGGAGCTCTTTGCTACCTGTATGTTCCCTTTTCATTTCCTACGGGGCACGATAGTGATCTTCCCGTTCTCTTTCCCATTCTTGGTAGCTTGCTTCTGCAGGCGGCGAGAAGAAGATGCACAAAAGATTGTTTAGGGTTTAGGGTTTAGGGGTTTCGGGTTTAGGGTTTAGGGTTGCGGCAGCTATGCAGGAAACAGAGATCGAGATGGAAGTGAGGCACGACTGGAGTGCCAGGTGACTGCCATTCACTGCTTCACGAAGCAGTGCACTGCTTCCGCGACGTGCAAAAAAATGCCGAGCTGAGGACACATGGGATCCCAATGCCTTGTGCCTCTGTTGGGCCAACAATCACGACAGCTGATGTGAGAATATGTGAAGACTTGCATCGCGGAGTCGAAATCCGATCAAGGCGCGATTACACCTGAGCCGACATCTTGTCGACCACCAGTGCTTGTTCAGCAGCATCTCATGTGCATGAATGTCTCGACCACAAGCCAGACCAACCGAAAGCTCCCCGGACATCCCGAGCCATGGTTCTGCTTGCGTTGGCGGCTCCTGCCCAGTCCTGGGCAGCGGCTTGGCAAAGCAGCATTGTCAACTGCAGAAGGAAGGTAAGGAAATCACAAACTCCACCACCACCACCACCACCACCATGTTAACGGCAACAACATCAGACTGCGAAGTGTTCACAAGAGCGCATTGACAACAAGAGCAGCACCAGCAAGACCAGAAGACATGACAACGAAGCCTCCATTGATGGTAATGATGCCTGAAGAGGTCCCGAACCAATTCCGCAGCCCTGAGTCCTACACTCTTGTGACTTGCCTAAAACCAAACCTGTATGCAGCCCTCTAGGCCCTAACTACAGCCTTCATAAAGCGCCACAGAACCTATGAATGCCTCTTATACAACTAGCAGCACCCTCGCCGGCCACCAGTCGCGTTACAACACTGTACAAAGCTTAGTAAAGTTTTCATAAGTCCGATTAGCAGCCATATATAATCCTAGAGTCCCCATCGAAACCCCACTGGCGCTCGCCTAAAACCCTCTTGTCGCCTTATTACAACCCCATATCCGGAAACCCTAAACCCTTAACCCAAGACTCGTTAGAAACTCTGCAGGACTTGAAACCTTCTTAAGACTTTTTGCAACCATTGCTTAAGACCGCTTTAAACCCCTAAACCCTAAACCCTAAACCCCCCATTTTGCCGACCAAGGCGAGCCTTGGCGCTGGCCTTGGTGCTGGCCTTGGCGCTGCTGGTGGCATTGTTGCCTTGCTTGGTGCTTGGCTGCCGCGTCCTCATTCGAGCCTACAGCCACTACCACGGATCATTAGCGAAGGTAGGGGATTCTGTAAGAGCCTTTACCATCGGGGTCTTACATTGGTTTCGACAAAGGTTTCCTTAAAGGGTTCGAGAAGCGTTCCACCATGAAAACAAGGCTGTCAGAGCTACAAGGTCTCTAGCGGTAGATGGGTTGTAGGCCCTAAGCCCTAAACCCTAAACCCTTAAACCCTAAACCCTAAACCCTTAAACCCTAAACCCTAAACCCTAAGGTCCTAAACCCTAAGGTCCTAAGGTCTAAGGTGTTCAGGGGCTCAGGGGCTCAAGGGGCCTTCGATTCTAAGCCTGAGGGATACTCGGCTGTGGGGGGTTTTTAGGGGTAGGGCTGATGATATAAATCCTGCATTACCCACAGTAAGGAGTATTCCACAATTCCCATACTTTAGAAGCCTTAAGGTCCTGCAGGATTTACATCATCAACCGTAGGGATTATGGTTCAGGGTTGTGGGCTGCAGGGTGTTTTCTGAAGCTCCCGACATGGTCGTGATGGCTTTGCCTGCAGACCATGACCATTAGCATAGTATAGAACCCTTTAAAGGAAGCCTTACAGATCCTTGACACCTTCTAGCATGGTTTGGTTTTGTAAGATGTCTTGCCGTGGATCCTCATCTTAGAGACAAGCAGAGAAGCGACAGCAAGAAAGTCAAACATGTTGAAGGACGGCGAAGCTGTATTGCTGGAGTTTAGGGGTTGTGGGTGTTACGGGGTTTAAGGTTTTAGGAAGTTGTGGTGCTCCTAACGCACCGATGACCGCGGAATCAGGCCCGTTGCGGCAGCTTATTTAGACTCCCATGTGTCGGAATTGATCCTGTGCCGCTGCAGGGTTTAGGGTTTGGGTTCAATGAGACGGCCGAACTCCTGAGACTTCCGAAGCAGTCGGAACAAATTGAGTGATGCTTGTCTGAGCAGCAAACCGTGTAACTTGTTCTGTTTGCTGACACATTCCTCTTGCCATGCACATCTTCCGTGCCGTACATATGCTAGTAATACAGTTCCGTGTATCGAAGATGCATACTGACTATCAGATGCTCCTCGAATTTGGGCCTGCAGCCACAAGCACATAGGACACCATAGCGAGAAGTGCCACCCAAGGAGGGTTAGCGCTGGAAGTCTTGTTGTCCTGAAGACTGGCACTTGATTTGATTGGTTCGCTGTTGCTCAAGGCACACCAACCCCTTGGACGACTTCCTTTGTCCAGTCAAGGAGGTGCGCGACAACAGTAGAATCCTTGTGTGCTGCATTGACGTGACGCGCACGGAAGCGAAACCTTGTGCCTGGTTCAGGCTGCGCCTTCGGCAGCTGCACTTGCCGTCGAGGATGTGTGCAATGTCGAGGATGGGTGCAAGCTGACGTAGGACGTAGGAAGTGGTTGCACTGTAGCGTTGCGGCCAAGATGCGATGCTGTGGTCAGGCAGCCCTTATCAGCACCACGGTGGGAGAACGCCGAGGCCCGGCACAGGGCGGCATGCACATCATCTTGCCGCGGTGCAGCGCATTTCAATCGCTAACTAAGCAAGTCCAACACTTGTGAAATGCACCAGTTCAATAATCCTTTCAGCAAGCCCTATTCATCTGCAGAGGAGGCTATCCATCATTGTGAACTCGGAGTTTCGTGGTGCAACTACAAACCCGTCCTGATCCATGCTGAATCTGAACTAGCTTGAGGTCACCTGTGCGGAGGCGCTGCTGCAGACACCAGGTGCAAATGCTCAGGTTTGGATTCGTCTATCAGTGCCTTTCAAGAGGCGAGAATGATCATGCATAGAGCAGCGATTGCAAGAGCAATGCCCAGAGTTAATCACACTTGCAAGAGGAACAAAGATGGCAATCACAGCAGGTGTAGTATGTGTCGTAGGAGTATCCACAACAAACTGGGTTTTCATGTTATTAGGCCTACGACGACAACAAGAACAGCGACGATGACTGCTACTTCGACAACTACTGCTACAACAGCAGACACCACCACCACCGCCGCCAACAACAACAACAACAAGAAGAGCCCCGGCAGCAGCAGCTGCAATATAGAACGTTGGAGCTAGAACTACAACACCAACAACCAGAGTGTAACCTAAATCCTAAACCCTAAACCCTAAACCAGAGTTTAGCAACACCGGGGGTGGGGGCGGTTTGCTTGGATTGAGGCTTCCACCGGAGATGAGAGGGGCCAGCGAGGCCGGCTTTTCGTTTTTTGCAGTCGATGACTCTGCACGTTTAGGGTTTAGGGGTTTGGGGTTTAGGGGTTTAGGGTTTAGGGTTTAGGGGAGCTTGGCATTTGGGAGCTTGGGAATTAGTGGAATTAGGCGCATGTAACTTGCAGATCGCTTGTGATTGAACCGGTTCTTGAGCAGCATGGAAGACTCTTGCTGTCAATCGCAGTCTAGGGGTTTGGGTTTTACGGGCTTTAAACTTTAGGCGTTTAGGTTTAGGGTTTAGGGGTTAGGTCTGGGGTTCAGGGGTTTAGGGTTTAGAGTTTGGGGGCTTGAGAACTGGGAAGCTGTGATGGGCTCTCTAAACTTCCTTTGCGGAGTTTTTCTATTTTTTAAAAAATTTCGATTCATGTCCGCAGGCCCCACAGCCATTCGTGCAGCCGCAGGCGCTGGTCGTTCCGATTGATATGGCAGCTTGGACAAAGCAGTAGTGAGTGAGCCATTACAAACTTGTGCCTGATCCTGAAACTCTGCGAAAGTGCTGGTGTCATGAGGAAGTCAATCCGCATTGGCAGAACCAGCCGCGTGCTCAGCTACGATGCAACAGGGATAATCCTCAGCCGGTTTTGGGCCCCAGGCAGCCCTCCCTAAGCCTGAAGCCAGTCTTGCGAAGGCTTCTGGGCACGCCCGTGGTGCAGACGGCACCCATGTACTTCCCGGCCGGCGCCAGCGTCTTTCCGACGGACCCGAACGTCAACCCGCTGTACTGGCTGCAGCGGAGTCCTCAGCGGCTTTTGTAGCCTTCTTGCCTCAAGCCCCATACACCCCCCAGCAGCTTCGAAGTTGCACCCCGGCTGAGCGTGAGGCTCCAGATGGTCCCAGTGCCCGAAAACGCACCGGCGCCAGCTCCACCAGCTCCGCCGGCTCCGGCAGAAGCGGCGAGCTCCACGGATCCGGCGCCCGCTCCCGCGCCCTCGCCTCGGGGCGACGGAGCCAGGGGACGGGGCGTTTGAGCGGGAAGGGTCGAGAGTGCAGGGTTCGAGCTTGAAGTATTGCCTGTGAACAGTCTTGTTATACTGTTCTTATCCTTCTGCTTCTTGTGATTCTTATTCTTATTCTTGTTGTTATTCTTATTCTTATTCTTATTCTTATTGTTATTCTTATGTTTCTTCTTATTGTTAAGTTTTATTCATTCTGCGGCTATGTCAGCATGCCATGCTGCGAGGCCAACTAGGCCGGCAAGGAAGGGCACCCGCTTGGTCAACAAGGCCATTGGCAAAAAGCCAGCGGCTGACTTGTGACCGCTCAAAGAGGAAAGGCTCACTTGGATGTGGGGGTTTAGGGTTTAGGGTTCAGGGTTCAGGGTTTAGGGTTTGCGGGGTTTGAGACCACAGAGTAAAATAGGCCTATGGTATTCAGGGTGGAACTTGGGGCCCCGGAAATTTCTGAAACACCTTGGAACCAGCTGTGTGTCCCTAAACCCTAAACCCTAAGCCCTAAACCCTAAACCCTAAACCCTGTACCCAAATCCTCCTTATCGAGTCGAGGCAAGCAGCAACAAAGAGCCCGCTCGCCTTCTGCTCCTCAGCATTTCTGTCGGTAGAGTGTGGGCCATGAGCACGCAGCAGGTGCAGCCCTCCGACGAAAGACAACTCAACCCGAAAGGGAAAGTGGGCACTAAGATCGGATGGAAGGTCCAGGCCAGTGCCTGCAGAATCAAAGAGCGACAGTAAACAAGCTAGCCACACTAGCACCACTGTTCACGCTAGCTTCGGGCCTTGTCACCCGATCTCCAAGAAGGGATAAAATCCCTAAACACCCTACCTAAACCCTAAACCCTGAAAGTGCTGAAAGGTTTCTGGCTCCCTGATTTCCTCTGCATTTCTCAACTTTCGCTTCTCCCTTTTTTTGTGAACCGGCGCCATGGCACTGGCAAGCCTTCGCCCATGGTGACGCGTAGCTTCAGGTGCTAGGGTGGGTTTAGGGCTGAAGGTTCAGGATTTAACATTCTTGAGGGTGCAGTGTTCATGATTTAGGCCTTCCGGTTCGATGAGCTGGAAGACAGGGGTATTTTCTGCAGAGCTTGTCTGATTTTGCGTTCATGCATAACCCTAAACCTGGCCTTAAATCATGAATCCGGAACCCTAGTACCATTTAGAGGGCTATGCCAAGGGTGTACTAGCTTCTTGGTGTCGGTACGCCCCTCCTCTTCTAGCACTCCCGTGACCGGTCTTGCGAGGTCACCCCGCAGTAGCCCTGAATTTCTTGACCCTAAACCCTAAACCCCGAAGTCTAAATCCGGGACTCCAAGCCAAAAGCCTTGCCTCGCCCCTGCACACTGCAACCGGAACGGAACGCCCCCCCCCCCCCCCCCCCC